CGACACCGATGTTCTTGAAAAGGCTGCATACACTGATCAAGCCTATTTCGCTGGCGAATACCAGAAACAAGAACAAGAGAGGGAAGAAGAGGAGCGCCAGGAGAAACTTGCCGCATCCTTCCACCAGGCTGAATTGGAAGACTACGACAACTATGGCGACATTGACTTCAATGACGTCCTTGGAGGTGCTGATCTGGCTAACGCAGAACTGAAACCTGAAAGTCAGTTCGTTACCGAAGGTCGTAGAGCCCGTCCAGAATATGTCAACTTTTCACGTGTTGCTAAAAGGGTCGATATCAAGCTCCTTAAGGACAACCTCTGGAAGGCAATTAAGCCCGAAGCGGTTGAGGCGCCCGTTGCAGACAATGAGACCCCCGAAAAGGAACAAACCCCGGTCAAGATCGAGACTGATTTCACTGAGGTCGCTCAAAAGATTGGCAAGATGTACAAGCCAGAAGAGAAAAAGGATCTTTCTACAAGTTTTTGTTTCATTTGCATTCTCCATTTGGCCAACGAGCACAAGCTTGATTTGTCGTCCAATGACAACCACGATGATCTACGTATCACAGGCTTCTAGAAAGCAGTTCCTGAATATCAGCATTCCTAGGACCACTGCGCATTAACCCCCGCATTTTACATATCCTGCATTGCATACTGAGGAAGCCTCCAATCAACTTATTCATCTCGCCACTTATTCCATCATCATCTTCAAAATGTCCCTAAAGTTCAGAGCCGTCCAGTTCACCAGTGCCGCTAGTCCCTTGCTTATCAAGGAAGATCAATTGAACGTTGAAAAGGATTCTAACGGCAACTATGTGGTTGACCCAACAAAAGTTCTTGTGAAGATCAAATGTGCTGCCTTGAACCCTGTTGATCTTGTCAGCAAAAACACCACACCAGTTCCACTCGCATACAAAACCAAAGGCATCGGTTATGATTATTCGGGTATAGTCGTCGGTATTGGCGCCGAAGCCGAGAAGAACACTGGTGTCAAAATTGGAAGCAAAGTCTGTGGTATGTTTCAAGAGGTCCTCGGCCGAGGAAGTCTCGCTGAATATGCTTTAATGGACACTGCAACATCCTCTGGAGCAAGCATCCATGAGTTCCCCGAGGGCCTCACTTTCCAAGAGGCTGCGTCGTACCCATTGGTCATGGGCACAGCTGTACTCATGTTTTCCAAAATACAGAAGCAGAACAAGAAACGCAGAATTCTCATCCTAGGTTCCGGTACTTCCGTTGGCAAATTCTGTGTTCAGATTGCAAAGAACGTCTATGGTTTTGAAGATGTGGTGACTACATGTTCGCCAGCCTCCGTCAACTTGGTCAAACTGCTCGGCGGTAACACGTGGATCGACTACACGGCCTGGGATCTGATTTTGGACCCAGTTCTTGAACTCGTGGGTATGAAGGGCAAGTTTGATGTCATTTTTGATTGTGCCGGAAATTCCGACTTGTTCCCACAGATGCTGAACATTTTAGTTGGAAGGAAAGAAGGAGGCACCTATGTGACAATTTCGGGAGACTACAAATACTCTTACTCGGCACCTACAACGGTTCAACTCATTTGGAACAATATCGGTCTTCCAAAGCGTCTTTTGGAAAGTAAAGTCGGCTGGTTGGATTACAGTTACGATTTTGTTGGGGTGATCAAGTCCATGTATCCATGGCAAAAAGAGTGCAAGGAGTATATTGCAGACAAAAAGGTGAAGCTCACCATAGATAGCGTCTATCCGTTTGTGGAGTTTGATAAGGCGTATGAGCGTCTTGGATCGAACAAGGCTAACGGTAAGGTTGTTGTGAATGTGGAGGACGATGCTTAAACTACACAGAGATGAATATAAGGTCAGGATTTCCGAGCGACGTAGAGTCAGTTGAGTTTTTTGAAAATGAGCCAAGATTGTGTGTTCACGAATTGTGTGAAATCTACGCCAAGTACAGAGCTTTCCTATTTCGCAGCCAATTTGCTCATACTAGCGATACATGTGATCCGGAATTTCCCAGATATCATTTCTTGAAATCAAGTTTTGCATGATTTTGTGAATGAACATTTCATGAATGAATGAAGGACGAGAAATTAATAAATCAAAGATTGGACAGTTCAACTGAAACAGCCGAAATAGCTCCTTTGGAGTTCATATCCAAGTTTAATATATGATTCCGAAAACCGTTGAGATCACCTTTTGGGACTAGGGGTCAAACGAAGGTTTCTTGAAATCGAATGAGATGTGTATTTTGACGATTTTTTTGGGATGATGATATGAAAGAGCGCTTGAGTATGATCAATCAGATAAGCAGTGGCAACTATGCCATTTCACCTCAACCACGAAATGACCCTTCTTGAGCAGCATTTTGAATATATCCAACCTAAGTAATGCCATTTATTTCATTTTCCATCCAAAACCCAGAATTTCACCAAACTTCCAATCTTACATCATCAGACCAATTCTAGACAGTGCGGTGGATGGCTGCAAACGGCCCGAACCGGCCTTTCTTGAAATGCCATAAGATAAAAAAAAATAAAAACCTCTTCAACTCGCCAACATCGCCTCCCTACCATAATAACCTTTTTTAATAAATATCCCACCTAGAGCGTCACGCCACAGCAACACCTTGGGTCCTGGAACCTTCTCGCACCCCAACCCAACATCAACCTCGGTTCTGGCATTTTCCACCTACACCCTGAAGATTGAATTTTCAAGAGCATCAACAGAATCCTCACTTCTCAACTAAAACAGCCATGTAACGAATTTTTAATTTCCCACCTCCAAACCGTGGTATCACCAACCCCGGTGGCACTTATGTGCCGCACACGACCGGCCTACATTTCACGCAAACCTCAACTTCAATCACCACCATGCTCCCTACCCTCTGTCGGATCCTCCCCAGGAGCTCAGCGCTAGCTATGCCGTTGGCGGCACGGGCGGTTCCGCTCGCCCGAACATGGACCCGTTATTCTCCGGGTCTCGTTCGTCTCGCCTCCACCGCCACCACCTTGCTTCTGAAGATCGAGAAATCTGCAAACGCCAGCCCGGCAAACGCCGACATCCAGCGTTATTTCTACCAGCGTCTTATGGAACACAACTACCCTCAGATCGTGGTCCAGAGATACGAAACTCAGGGCATCGGCGCCAATCCAGAATGTACTCAGCTCTACATCCAGGCGCTTCAACAAATGGGACAAACAGCCAAGGCTGAACTGGTGGCAGCACAAATGGGTGCTACGCCTCAGCTGAACATGGGCTTTTCTCTGGGCTTTGGCTCTCGTAACGAGCCTGTGCATGTGGTTGTTTCCGAGTCTAACTTCACCATCTTGTCCAAATGGCTCAAGTGGCTTATACCTATCGCCTTGTTGACCTACGGTGCGTCCAACGCCTTCAACTTCTTGCTGGAGAACGGCACCATCTTCAGGTCGTCTGAGGTGACCGATAAGTCCGTCGATGTGTCCCGCTCCAACGTCCGTTTCAAGGACGTCTGTGGTTGTGACGAGGCACGTGCCGAGCTCGAGGAGATTGTGGAGTTCTTGAAGGACCCATCCAAGTTCACCGCTTTGGGTGGTAAGTTGCCCAAGGGTGTGCTCTTGACGGGTCCTCCAGGTACCGGTAAAACCCTTCTCGCTCGTGCTACTGCTGGCGAAGCCGAGGTGCCCTTCTTCTTCATGTCCGGTTCGGAGTTTGACGAATTGTACGTCGGTGTCGGTGCTAAGCGTATCAGAGAGTTGTTCAACCAGGCCAGAGAGAAGGCTCCTGCCATTGTTTTCATCGATGAGTTGGACGCCATCGGAGGAAAGCGTAACCCTAAGGACCAAGCCTACGCCAAGCAGACCTTGAACCAGCTTCTTGTGGAGTTGGACGGTTTTTCTCAGAGTGAAGGTATCATTATTATCGGCGCTACTAACTTCCCGCAATCTTTGGATAAGGCTTTGACCAGACCTGGTCGTTTCGACAAGGAGGTCATTGTGGAGTTACCTGACGTGCGTGGCCGTGTAGATATCTTGAAACACCACATGGAGAACGTCGAAACTGCCGACAATGTTGACCCAAGCATCATCGCCAGAGGTACTCCAGGCTTCTCTGGTGCCGAGTTGATGAACTTGGTCAACCAGGCTGCCGTTCACGCTTCTCAGCTTTCGGCACTTGCCGTCGACATGAGCCATTTCGAATGGGCTAAAGACAAGATCTTGATGGGTGCTGCCAAGAAGAAGATGGTCATCACGGAGGAGTCCAGGAAAAACACTGCTTATCACGAAGCTGGCCATGCTATCATGGCTATGTTTTCCCCTTCTGCCACTCCATTGTACAAGGCTACGATATTGCCAAGAGGCAGAGCTCTTGGTGTCACATTCCAGCTTCCAGAGATGGATAAGACTGACATGACCAAGAGAGAGTGTTTCTCGAGACTTGATGTTTGCATGGGCGGTAAGATTGCCGAGGAGATGATTCATGGTGCTGACAACGTCACTAGTGGATGTTCCTCTGACTTGGCTAACGCCACCGGCATGGCCAGAGCTATGGTCACGTCCTATGGTATGAGTGACAAGATTGGTCCCGTCAGGTTGAGTGATGACTGGGACTCTTGGTCGCCCAAGCTAAAAGAGATGGCAGACAACGAGGTTCGTACATTCCTCGTTGAATCCGAGGAGAGAACAAGACAGATGTTGAAAGACAAAAAACTCGAGCTTCAAAGGCTCGCAGAGGGCTTGTTGGAGTACGAGACGCTAACTAGAGACGAGATGGAAAAGGTCGTGAAAGGAGAGTCGATCAACAAGCCTAAGACGATGAGTAATACCATCGTCAAAACTCCAGATGGAGGTAGGAAGGAGGTCATTAATGAGCCTGCTCCTATTCCTGCTGAAGCATAATACCACACAAACAAAACGATTTTTGCATCAACGATGTTGTATAGGCAATGAAAATGTATATAAAGCTAGAAACTACAATGACAGACAAATACTTTTCGTGTAGATTACTATATAAAAGAATGAACATTTCACGGGATCATTATTATTGTTGCTGGCCACCGTTTTGGAAGAAGTTAGCGAGTTGGGCACCCAAGTTAGGGTTTTGTTGGTTGCCGTAATTTTGTGGAGGGTAACCCTGAGGAGGCTGCTGAGGCATCTGTTGCATTGGCATCTGGCCAGGGAATTGTTGAGGCAGGTTTGCAAACAAACCTGACAATGGGTTGGCAGCGTTGTTGCCGTAACCGTTGAAATCAGGACGAGCTCCCATACCAGTCTTGACATACTGGTCTTCAGACTCACCTGGTCTGTTGGACTTTGGTCCGTTTCTGGTGGAGTTGGTGGGCATTTTCTTAGACATGGCCTTTGAAGAAATACCAGTTCCGATCTCGATATCGGGCTCATCAATCACAATACCAGTGACAAGAGGCTGACCGCCAGTTCCACCCCATTCGGCATCGACAACCCACTGCTTATCAGCGTCTGTCAAACGAACAATTGGAATGATGGAGACACCATGCTGGTAGTTGCAACAGTCTCTAGGACCGAAACCAACACCCCAACGAGTTCTCAAAGGCAAAGCACCGTCCTTGTTGAAAGACTGAACAACAGCCTCGGCTTCTTTTCTGGAGTAGACCTTGACGAAAGCATGCTTTCTCTCGCTGTTAAGAATAACAGACTGGACCTCGGCGTAAGGCCTCAAGTGACCTGCAAGCGATCTTTCGTCCATTCCACGAGGAACACCACCAATGAACAAGGTTCTAGACATGACCTTGAAGGAGCCCTGAGGGATGGAGTTGTCGAAACCAACGTTACGAGGACGGAAGTGAGGAGCACCAGGAACGTTACGCTCACCTTCATAAGGAGCAAAGCCATGAGAAAGAGACTTCTCCTGAGGTGGGTTAGGACTGAAGCCGTTGTTTCCGTGACCTCTTGGTGGCGATCTGGAACGGTTTCTTCTCAGGTAGCCGCCCATATCGTCACGGCCTCTTCTCTCATACTGCTGCTGAGGATATCCACCACGGTCGTTGTAGCCAAGACCCTGTGGAGGCATCTGCTGTTGATGCTGCTGGTGCATGCCTGGCACAGGAGGCAAACCGTTGTTTGGTATTTGTTGCTGAGAAGGAGGAGGTGATTGAGAAGCACCTGGGTTCTGCTGCATCTGTTGCAACATGTTGAAGATCTGCTGGTTCTGACCCTGACCTTGGCCCTGGTTGGGGATGTTAGGAAGGTTTGGAAGGTTTGGAAGCAGAGCAGGTGGCTGTGATGCCTGAGCATTCTGGTAACCTGGGCTACGAATGTTCTGATGCTGTGGGGCAGGCGAGTGGCCGTTGTTCTGGCTGCTGCCTGCAAGGGCAGACAATTGAGACAAGATGTTTGCAGCGTTTTGGTTGTTAGCTGGTGGAGCCTGCTGGGTACCTGGGGATGCAGTTGCTGGAGGAGTAGGAGTCTCTGTCTTCTTAGCCAAAGAGGCCAAAGCCAGCAAAATACTTCCAGAGTCACCCTCCTTGGATGCAGCTGGAGCAGCGGCTGAAGCAGCAGCAGGAGGTTGAGGCAAGGATGGAGCAGGAACACTCTTGTTTGGAGGACTACCAGGAGGAGTCGTAGAGCGGAAGTGCTTGTCCCTGATGGCCTTCAAAGTAGCAGGGGAGAAGGTCTGGGCACGTTCCCAAATATCCACAAGCTTGGAGATCTTGACAGAAGTGGCTGGAACAACCAGCAACAGCATAGCATCGTCCATGATGGACTCAATCAACTCACTTATCTTGAAGACACCGCCAGCAAAAGTACCCTCTGGAGCTGAAGAATCCACGGTTTCACCCTTCTTCTTGGCCTCTTCCTTGTAGACTCTCACGATGGAGTCCACAACGTATAAAGCACCCAATTTATGGGAAGATGGGGTGGCCTTGCAACTGTTGTACAAGGCCTGGACAAGCTGGGATTCTTCGGCCACATTCTTGACGGCGAGATCAGTAAGTTTCTTGATACGAGAACCAGAAACACCTGGAGCCTTTATGGTAGGCAATTCTTGTAGGATGGATTCAAACTCCGACACGGCAGACATTTTTACAACTAAATAAAGTGATGTCTTCTACTGAGCAACTTTCTTGCTCTGGAGGCCCTCTTTACGTTATTACTAGCAGCTAAACTTGCTGAGATACAGTTACGAGTGGGGATCCACTGGGACGGATTGGGATGGGGGCAGGAATAAGTTGGTGCTTTGATGAGAAATATTCGGGGTGACGTGACTATATATATAGGTGTCTGGTGCGCGCACGACCCGGGTGATTGTATGCAGGTGAAACAAATTTCCGTACCCGAAATTCGACCAATACTTCAGCTATTGCTTTTAATTTGCATTGAATACGGACGAAATGACCTTCAACATGCTATTCGTAGGTATCAAGGTACAGTCTCTGCAAGGGCAAGTCGCCTTTGGGTGTAACCCGTATTATCACCATGCAGTACACCCATCCCGTAACCAACGACACCGCCACTGTCAAGGCCTTACCAGACATCATATAAACATCAACTTCTACATTCAGACCACCTCTTTGGGCTCCAAATGGGCACCTTTAATATGGGCGTACTCAGAATTACCCCTGGCGTGCTCAGATATACCCCGCGGTTGAAAATTTCGATACATCTTCAGCTAAACCACCTACCTTGAAAACCATGCTAACTGCTCCAGCCAAAAGTGCTCTTCGGTGCTACTCCACCGAGGCAGCTCCAGCCATCAGGCTGACACTCCTTTTGCTGAGAAACCCCATCATCACGGCAGACCAGCCTGCTTTCCAGAAACAGTACTACCGTTACCTGAAGGAATTGTGGAAACGGTTGATGTGGACCTTCCCCAAATGGTTCTGGTTCCGTCCGGGCACCGTGGCCGAACTCAAGTTCCGTGAACTCAACAAAAGACCTTTTTACAACAACCCCAAGGTGGAGTTTGTGGGAGGTAGGCCCGATGTGATGCATAACAGAGACAGAAGATTCAAGCAAGAGGTCAAGTTGCCCCAGACTTACGACGACAAGCTGAAGGAGGTGGATCCTCTTTCCAGAAAGATCATTCCCAATTCCAGAACCACCCAGGCCGACAAGAACAACGACTTGGTTTCTTTGGAAAGAAAGCTCGCCAGAACGCTATACCTCTTGGTGAGTGAGGACGGTAAGAAATGGAACTTCCCCAATTTTGCCGTCAGCGAGTCGCCTCTACATAAAACGGCTGAGCAAGGCCTCTATCTGATTGCCGGAAAGCAGTTGAACTACTTCAACGTTTCCAAGACGCCCTGCCATGTGCATAACTCCGCTGGAGAGAAGCTGTTTTTCATCAAGCTGCACCTTCTTTCGGGCGCTTTTGATGTGCAGAAGCCACTTCAGCATTTGTGGTTGACCAAGGAGGAAGTTGGCCAGCACTTGGAGAAGGAGTACTACAGCGAGGTGGAGCACTTGTTGAGTGACATATAAGCATAATCGTGTAAATAGACATTGTCACCGGAGTATACGACGAAGATGGAGAGGTAGTGTAGGATTGATGGCTAGTTGAGGATTCTAGTGTTTCAAAACTATAGATTTTAGTATGAAGAATCTTGACGAGAATTGAAAAATACTATTAAAGTTAGTTACAGTTCGTCAAACCATCAAATAATCAATTGGTAGCCTTCCTACATTTCAAATCTTCATATATACAATTCCACTCCTCAGTTACGCTAAACACACCGAATACTAAACTTTTGGTTATTTTGACGATTGAAAAAGACTACTTAAGGTAGTTGCAGTGCATCAAACACTACCAAACAATCACTTAATAGCCCTCCATCTCTTCAAATCTCTATATCTACTACTCCACACTCAGCTGTCCGTAAATACTCCGAATACTAAACTTTTGGTTATCTATGTACCTCCTCTACGTCTCCTTCTTGCCCTTGAGCACCTGTTCAGCAGCCCACACAGAACGGTCAAGCACAGCACCGACCGTCAAGACACCAGCAATGGAACTGATCACACCCAAAACAAAGCCCGACCACGTTTTGGCGTATTCCTGACGGTTGATGATTTTCATGGGCGAGATGTCAAAGTGGAAGAACACACCAGGAACGCCTCCACGTGCATGCATGGTGTTCTGGTGGTCCTCGTCTCTGCCACCTACGACTGGACGGTCATGCGTGATCACAGAAAACTGGTTCGTCTCCTCGGCAGTTTGTCTGTTCTCGAGGTACTCAAAACGAGTGGAAACGACCGAAAGGAAGTACAGCGCCACGTGCTCCTTCTTGCTCTGTTTGAAGTTGTGGCCGTCCAAAGGAGCAATGGAAGGCGCCTGGTTGTCCTCGCCAGGATGGGCAAGCTTAAGCGAGGCGGAGGGGTCTTTTCCAAACGAAAAGTGGTTGATGACATGGTCAATGTCGAACTTGTCGTACTTGCGCCACAACGACATGTCGTGGGAATGGCGGCCTTGGCGGGAGATCTGAATGCCCGGAGCAAAATGGAGGTTTCCAGAGATTCTGGTGATCTTGGCCAGACCCTTCACTCTGCATCCCTCGTTATCACGAATACGCTGCTGAAGATTACGAACATAGCCCTCCTCTTCACACTGGGCGATATTTTCGCCATCGTAGAACGCCCACTCCTTCACCGCATACGCTAGTCTGACGTCCTTACACGAGTTGCAGCAGTACTTGTTGTCTGTCTGATCGACAGCAGCGTAACAAGACCCACAGGCCTGGCCAGGCTGGCCCTTCAAGGTCTCCTCCCACTTCTCCACACCGGACATGATGGGAAGATCGTCCTTGACCTCCTGGCCCAGCGGAAGCACTCTGAAGATGTTGAAGCCAGACTGAAGCACATCCAAGTGGAGGTCGCCCAGGTTGTCCAAAATGTCCAACGTCAACACGCCACACGGCACGTTGGGAAACGTGATGTCCAAATTAATATCAAGCTGTTTGTTCACGTCTCTGTCCACAACAAGCTCCGGTCTGACCACCATGGAGGTGTACTCAGAGTACTCGTTTCTGATGAGAAGAAGCACAATGAAAACGCAGACGAGGGTGATCATGCCGCCCGAGGCGGTCTTGACACGTGCGTCCTCGACGGTTTTGGCAAAGGCGTCTAGGGAAATGAGCCTGGGGCGGGACATGGATGGAGAAACGGTGTGGTTTGGATCGGTGAAATATCGACGTGTGTTATCAGCAGGTCTGCATCGAGACGCACCGGGGCCATTGGGGTTTTTTTGGGGAAGTTGGTTTTTTGGAAGTTGATGGGGGTTTTGGGTTAAAAAGGGATGTGAGGTTGTGTTGATTGAAGGGAGGAGGTTTGGGGTGGCGCTTGTTGGTGAATGGGTGGGGGTGGGTGAAGGCGGTGAAGGCAGTGAAGGCAGTGGAGGCGGTGAAAATTGGCACTTCATGGGGGTTTTTGGTTTACTTTGTTTTTGACGAATACGAATGATTTCCTCGTCAATGGATATTTTTATAATCTTTAGTTTGAGGTTAAAAAGATATATTTGTGGAAGTTTGGGTGTTTGGTGATTCCGCTCGACTACTGTGCTGCAGAGGCGGTCTACCATAGACAAGCGATGGAGAAAAAGTTGAATCATTTTTTATGAAACCTTCAAGGTAGACTATTTCATTCACGGATCTCGGAATATGATCACAAGAATATCACAAAAACTGTTTGTCTCTCTTTCGTTTACCTGGTGGTATGTGGGGCTACTTGGAATGCCTCTCAATCACCATACTTTCCATACATTTGAATGCAATTGCATTTACTTTCACTATTGACATTCTCTCCATTTTAATTAGGATAAGCTGTTTGGCCGTTTTACTAGCTCAAAGTGGAATATGACTAATGTAACGGATATTCTAATAGAGACCTGACATGACCTTCAATGGGTACCCAAAACTTTACAAAAGTCCCACTTATGGTATTTCCAAATACTCCAATCCTATAGTCCCTATCTCTCTTCAGTAGTTTCGGTCCGTATTTGCCTTTTCTCGTTGTCCGCTTACGTACTTAACTGAGCTTCCATCCATTGGCTGCAAACGAGCATTGACCCCATCATATACTCCACCAACCAGCACTCGGCAAGATTATTCCAAATTCATTTAAGCCCACCTCTTTTGAAAAACTTTAGAGAATACGTTTAAAAAATCTCCTCATCCCTCCTTACCACGAACAACCTTCCCTTCCCACCTACACCTGCACCGTGTGCACACTGGCATCAACAGTCTATATTTCATCCTCATATACCACCTCCTTCAAACCCGCCATGTCTGCCCACTTTGCCAATATAAAACCGCTTACAGCTCGGGACAATGGCAATTCTGGAAAACCCTCCCAAGAGAAAATCCTCCACATCTCCATGAACGCAGTGGCCCTGAAAATCGCCAATACTCGTACTGATGGAACCATTCGTGTGTGGAAAAGCGTCCAGGGACTTTCCGACCAGGTCACTATAAAAAGTGGTTATGCTGAGCCTGTAAGAAGAATCTCCTGGCTTCCAACGACAGACAATCGTTTTGCAAGTGTAGGAGGAGACGGTTTCTTGAAGCTCTGGACTGCTGGAGGGGTTTTAGAAAGAGAGATTCAGGTTGAAAAGGGAGAGGAGAAGTACCGTTTGGTGGACTACTCTGTGGACGGTCAATTTTTGACACTTACGGACGGCAACCGTTTGGTGGTCTTGGACGTCAATGACGAGTACAAGAAGATTCATGAAATCGAGCTCAGCAGTGAAATTACTGAAGTCAGGTGGCTGCACGATCCACTGACTGTGTTTGTGGGCTTGGAAAATGGTCAGATTGAGATTCTACAAGTGAAAGAGTCGCTAGATAAAGCGTTTACGATATATGGACCTCGTCTGTCTGTGACCTCAATTGCAATTGACCCCAAGGGTAAATTCTTCTGTGCTGGCTGTGAAGAAGGAGCTGTGTATTTTTGGAGAACCTCTGACTTGCAGAATTCTAAAGCACTCACAAAAATAGACGAGGCGGTCAGTTGCGTGGATATCAGTCGAGACGGCAGCTTTGTCGCAGTGAGTTACGTCAAGGACAGCAATATAAGGATCTTTGACAGTGA